GTGGCATCAAGTTTCAAACAATTCCTCCTTATTCTCCTCACTTTGGGGGATTATGGGAAGCGGCTGTTAAGTCTGTTAAGTACCATCTCAAACGTGTCCTAAGTCTCACACATTTGACCTTCGAGGAAATGTCGACTTGTCTCGCCCAAATAGAATCCATACTAAATTCTCGTCCTCTAACCTCCTTGTCCACAGACCCCTCCGATCTTTCATGTCTCACTCCTGCTCACTTCCTAATTGGGCGCTCACTCGTGACCATACCGCGTCCTTCAATTGACCAAGAGAACATAAATTGCCTCGAGCGATATCAAAGAGTGCAGAAGCTAAAGGAACATTTCTGGAATCGGTTTTCACTCGATTATGTTCACCTCCTGCAGCAACGCATCAAGTGGCGTTCACCTTCTACAGACTTGCCTCTTGACACCCTTGTGCTGGTGCGCGAGAAAAACCAGCCGCCTCTACTCTGGTGTCTAGGTCGAGTTGTCGGAGTACATCCAGGACATGACGGCGTCACTCGAGTGGCAGATATCAAGACCAGAAAGGGGGTTATCCGGAGAGCTTTAAATAACATTTGTCCTTTGCCATCAGTATGCTCTCCGTAATAAGCGTCACTTCAAGAAACACATCTCTAACCGCAATAGCAGGATCTTGGTGAAGACTACAACATCTGCAGCTTCCGATCCCGATCGTCAGCCTGGCCCCGGCAGTATGTTCAGTGCTCCCGCACCTCAGCGGGGAAGCCGCGCGGAGGGGACCCTTTCAGAACTCGTCCGTCCCCCGCGTGCCCTCACCACCGCTTCGGCCAGTTGCGCTCCACGCCATAATCCAACAACACGTCATCTATTTATCTTTTGTATCTTTCTTACAATAAACTGTTCAACTGCAATTCAGTATCATTCAAATATACCAGAATATACAGTCCACCATTAACAATACGCGTTTAGCATTCCGATTCAAGGGCGCCCGAGAGGGCCGAGCCTCGACTTGATCGGTTGCTGCTATC